AATCCTTGACCCCTCCATTAACTAGAACTGAAAAATGACAAGATGTTATACAACCATTCACCCAACTACACCACCTGTCCCCAAATCCACATTTCCTTAACACTTCTAGTAAAAAATTCCAATTCACCAGGTCATAGGCTTTCTCAATATCCAACTTACAAACAAAGACTTGATTACTTGATCTTCTCATATCCTCCACACATTCATTTGCCATGAGGATCTGATCTATAATTTGTTACCTTGTACAAAAGCTCTTTGAGCTTGAGTAATGAGAGAGGGAAGAACCTTTTTAAGTCTCAACAATAGCACTTTTGCCACAATCTTGTATATGCTGGTCACCAAACTGGTCGGCCTGAAATCTTTAGGATGTTTTGCATCTAGTCTCTTAGGGATAATAGCTAGGAAGGTAGCATTTATCCCCCGACTAATAACATGGTTGTTTTCAAACTCCTTAAAAACCTCAAACAAGTCTTCTTTGATAATGTTCCAACAGTCTTGATAAAAGGCCATAGTAAATTCATCAGGTCCAAGCGCCTTGGATCTATCCATTGAGAAGACAGCTTTCCTTATCTCCTCTTCTTCAAAGTTTCTTTCCAGCCAGCCCATCTCTAAGGTAGATAAACTTGGCCAATCCAAACCCTCCACTCTCACCCGACTCCCCCAAAGGTCTACTCAAAATGGATTTAAAGTGGGCTACAAAACAGTTAGCCATCTCCTCTTGAGACTCAATTTCCACTCCCTCGACCTCAAGCTTAGCCACAGTTTTTCCTCCTCCTCCTATTGGCCATATCATGAAAAAACTTGGTAGTCCCATCCCCTTCCTTGATCCACTTATGCCTAAATTTTTGCCTCCAAGAGATTTCCTCCCTCAAAAGGACCTCTTCTAGTTCTTTCTTCAACTTCCATCTCAACTCTCTTTCTTGTACACTCATGATCCTTTGATACTCCTTTGAGTCTAGATTCTCAATTTGAGTTGACAATTTAGCTTTGAGATCTTCCACGCTACCAAACTCCTCCATATTCCAATCTTTTAGTTTAGATTTCAAACTTTTTAATTTCTTATGGAACCTCACCCCTTTCCACTTCACTCCCCTAATCTCTTCTTTCCACCATTCCTCAAACCTAAAAGGTCTAGGTCCACCACCAAAAGTTTCTTGGCCTAGCTCGATAGGGCAATGGTCTAAGATCACTCTAGGCAAAGCCTTAGCCACCAACCCCCTCCAGTGTGCTTCCCAACTTTCATTGAAAAGGAATCTATCTAATTTTGAGCAAGATGGGTTCTCCTGAAAGTTGGACCAAGTAAAGTAGGCTTGTAGCAAAGGAAATTCCTTTAAATCACAATTATTGGTAAAATCATTGAACCTCCTCATGCTAGTAGTGATAGCTTGTTGGGGATTGTTTGACTCATTTAGGAACCTTATTACATTGAAATCTCCACCTAAACACCAAGGACCTTCCCATAACCCTTGAATCTTGTGAAGCTTTTCCCACAATTCATTTCTCTCTATAATTATTTGGCCCATACACATTGGTTAACACCCAAGTAAAACCATCCTCCACCATCTTGAACTTCAAAGAGACAGAAAAACTGCCTATCAGTTCCTCTAATGGTTCTACCACATCCTCTCTCCAAAGCATAACTATACCCGCAAAGGCACCCCAAGAGGGAGACATTCTTCCACATAAATTAATAAAGAAATTTTAGTTAAGAATAAAAAATGTAAACATAAATAAGCAAGTTCAATAACTGAAACTTACAATTAACCAAAACTTTTGAATAGCTTATATTCTCATAAATTGAAGTACATGTTATTTGTATTATAAGCAAGTTGGCACAGTTCTAAGAGATAGTATTGCCATGAGCTTCAGCTTCTACACATAGTTGTCAAGGTGTATAGCGCCATAGGCAATTCTAGGCAACAGTGGGATACCTACTACCTAGTGGCCAAGTAGGCTCCTAGGCAAACAATTAAGAATTTTATACAGTAAAAAAACAAAATTTTAGGTTAGTTCCCTAGTTTTATATACCAATCAGTATGCATATTAATTGAAAAAAAAAAATAGCAATCCTTTTTAGTATTAATATCAATATTTACAAAAATAGCATCAAATATAATAAGTATTGATAGAGAAATTTCATATAAATTAGCAACTAAAGAAGGATATAATTTTATATAATACAAATTTAAGATAAAAGTCAAGGAAAGAGAGAAAAAAAAAAAAAGAACAAGGGTTGAGCCACCTTTTTATAATATGAGAGAGATTAGAAAAAAGAGAGGAAAAAAAGAAATTTCTCTATCCTTCTTTCTTTTATACTTCTCAAAGCCCTTGGATCTTTTAAATTTCAACACAACCTTAAAACAAAGTATGGGCGATGTATATAGCATATAAACAGACATACTAATAAGATGCAACTGTAGTAATGATATTATAATAAAGCGCCTGCCTTGTGATTTTGTTTAGGTGGGCACCTAAGCAACGCCTTGATAGCTACATTTCTACATTGACATGATCACAGTATTTTACTATAGTCAGCACACTTGTAATGGTAAGCTCTATTTCCATATCCAGCAGTATCAAATGACAGAATCCACAAGGATTACAGGAGAAAACCTATTTGCTCTTGTTGCATCAGTAGTACGAGTACCACTGGAATAAAGCTAAAAATATGTTTCTTACAGAACACCATACCATGGTAAAACAACCAAGAATTAAAAGGTAAACCAAAAATAAAAAGAAAAAAGTGAAGCATTGGTAATTGGTCCATTTGTTTCAGCCACCCTGCAGACTGTTGGTATGAAAATTTTAATAAATTCTCATGCAACATAATTCACTCAATTAAGTGATTGAGCTTTTCTTTATTATTATTTTGGGTAAGGCCCATTCAGGGAAATCATACGGATTGTTCCCCTTAATTACATCTCCACAAGAAAGTAGAGAACACCTTTTGATTCTGACTTGGAGAAATGAATGCATAGAACAAAAGAAAAGAACAATAGAGTACTTAAAAAGAACTTTTCATTTGCTTTTCTTTTACATCAAGTGTACAAGAATGAGAAGAAAGAAAAAGAAAATACAATTGAGAAACTATACAACAATACATTTCTCTTTTCTTTTTGATACAAAGAAAATTTCCTTCTCACTCCTTTCTTCACAATAAGCTGTAGTCAATCAGATGAAATTCTAATTGTAGACAGCCTTAATCCTTGGATTTTTGCATACAAAAAGGGAATCGTAGTCAATCAAACTGAATATTTGATTATAGACAATTTTCATTCCTCTGCCCTTCATTTTCATTTGAAGGGAACCATAATCAGCCTTCGAGAATTAGACTGTAGATGGTTTAATCCCTAACTTTGTCTTGAAAGAGGGACCATAATCAACCAAGTAGAGGCAYCTGGYTGTAGATGRTTTATTYCCCTCTACTCTTCATTTTCATTTGAAGGGAACCATAATCAGCCTTCGAGAATTAGGCTGTAGATGGTTTAATCCCTAACTTTGTCTTGAAAGAAGGACCATAATCAACCAAGTAGAGGCACCTGGTTGTAGATGGTTTATTTCCCTCTATTTCCTTTCTCAAAAGTGAAAATAAAAGAGAGAGAGAGAGAGAGAGAAAGAAGGATACATAGCAGAAGACATATATAGAAAGTATTCACAGAGAGGACTTTCCTTTTTCTACCTGTATTAGTGAGACTTTTCATTCCCTGCCTTCCCTTGAGCACTCCTCTTTTCTTCTCTCATTATCTTTGCTTTTCTTAAGAATCTCTTGTGACAATTTTCTCCGAAGAGTGTCTCTCCGTACGTGCTTCTAGCTTCCCCTTAAGGAGCTTAAATAGGGAGTGGGGTAGTTATGTAACTACCTCCTCCTCCTAGGTGAAAGACACCTGTCCCTCCCACTTAAAGAGAGGGAACTCCCATACGGGATACTTTTCCATAGTTTTAATGGTTTGGCTAGCAGACTAGCCAACCCACTTATTTGTGTTATAATTTATTTAAATATTATTTGGATTAAAAAAAATGCCTTCAACACATACGAATCCCATTTTTTGTAGAAATCTTCCTCTACATGTCGGATCATTCATAATGAGAACTTTATCCAGTTTATTACATAAGGAACTTAAATTTTGCATTTTATCATTTACTCTCTTCCCCCTCCAACCTTCCTCTTAGTAATTTAACTCGCATTGTTTATATTATGTAATGTCTTTCTAAAGTTGCAGGTTGAAGGGACTAGAAGGGCTAGGGGTAGATCAAAAGGACCTGGATCAAAGTAGTAAACAATGATTTTAAGTGCTTAATAGTTAATAATTGAAATGGCTTTAAACAGAAGAGAATGGATTCATGTAGCCAACCCCACTATAGTTGGGATAAGGCTTAGAGGATGGAGATGATGATGATGAATATCTTTCTAAAGGTTAAATTTATTTCCCTGTTTTCTTGAAGCAATCAGTTTATTACATACATCCTATTCATGTAGCCAACCCCACTATAGTTGGGATAAGGCTTAGATTATGATGATCAATATCTTTCTAAAGGTTAAATTTATTTCCCTGTTTTCTTTAAGTATTCAGTTTATTACATACATCCATCTTTGGTAATTTCGAATTGTTGCAGCGAATTTAAAGAAATATTGACTTAAGAATGGTGGGACAGCCTTTGGCTGATCTACATATTCCTATTCTGGTTCTATCTACATACTAGAGGAGGAATGAGGTTATCATTCTCTTTCATTAATAAAATCAGTTACTGGCCAAAAAGAATAGTTGAAGAAACATTGCAAGTGAAAGTCACATAGTAGGTTGCTTTCAGGCTACTACAACTGTCTACCCAAGTCTGAATAGATGTGAATTCAATAATGCACTTCAATTGCACATCGAATTCTAAGATATGTAAGGATTAAAAGCTTTTCATATGAAGGTCATTGTTAGCTTCTTTATGGATCCTTATTATCAACTTGTTATTTCATTAGCAAAACTCAGCATATAGAATGTTTCACTTACGGGATGTGATGACCGCCGATGCGTACGAAAGGAAGCATGTTGTGTATCCTCTTCCTGTTGTAGTGTCCATGCAATACTTGCATCAATCTGTTGGTGGTTAGACATAAATATAAGGACTGATCAGCAAATAGTTTTTCATGACATATAACAAAAATGATGTTAGAAAATAAGCACCAATTGAAGAGAATAACCACCTCTCCATCCCCAGCTCCAGGCAACTCACGATAAAATTGTTCTTGGAGTTGTCGAGCCAATATCTCATCAGCTTCTACCTGTCTTGCCCTAGCATCTGAGTCATCATCAACTATTCGACTTGTATCTTGAGGATTATTGCATCTCATTTCTGGAGACAAGTCATCAATTTCTATAATAGGTCCTGAGGTGCCATGACAATGAGGATTCTGAGATCTGGCTGTTCTTGTGTTAGGAGGTTCACGAGATGACCAGAGATAAGCAACTTCTGAGTCATCAAAAGTTGAAGTAGAGCAATCACCAGTATTGCCAGATGAACCATGCTTCTTTTGTCTTTTCATTAGCTTATTTGTTCTATGAAATTGTCCATTTACATTGTGTGACTCATAAGCAACATTGGAAGATGTTTGAGCTAAATGTTGAGTGGGCCTATGCTGAATAGATCCTGGATCCCCAACATCAACAAAATCAGTCTCAGGACTGCTGTTAACTACATTCATACAATTTATACTTTCTGTTCTGTTTTTATGCCTTTGACCACCCCCAGGAAGATGTCCAACCTCACCAATCAATGGTGAAGATGTTCTTCTTGAACTATTATGTGTGCTTCTCCAACCACCTGTGTCTTCAAAACACTGGGAAATGTCTCCAGCAGTAGCTTCATTGCTAGTAGCCTCTTCTACAGGGTATATCAAACTGCAGAAAAAATGCCATGCTATGAATGGAACACTACAACTGTGCACAGAACACTACAAGTTGTACACGAGAAGATATGTGAATCACAAATATCAGGCATGCCACAAACAACAAGAAAAAATGGTTAAAAAAAACAGGAACCATCTAGAAGTGGCAAATAATGGGAAATCTACAAATCATACATATGTTAAGTCAATGTGCCAAGTGTTAAAAAAAGCAGTTAGAATATTCTATTGCCTATCAACTCAAATAACTCAGGGATAACACAACTAATTTGTATATTTTATGTGTTCATTAGAAGACATAGATTAAGGCTCAGGTTCCTTTATTTGGACACCTTATTCACACAACACGTACAGGGCAGAAAATAGTTATCTAGGGAACCATGAACCTGAACAAGACTTGTCGGAACACACTAAAAACAAGAACCATCTAGAAGTGGTGAATAATATCCAAACTACAATCATATATAAATCAATGTTTTGAATGTTTAAAAGGGAGTTAGAAGTAGGCTATCATTTCACTTTAATATGTCATTGCCTATCAACTCAAATAACTCAGGGAAATAATGCAATTCATTTGAATATTGTATGTATTTATTAAAGAATGCAGATTAAGGCCCCAGTTCTTTTATTCAAACATCCATTCAATCTGCTAGTATGTGCAAGGCAGACAACAATTGCCTGGGGAACCTGAACAAGACTTATGTCAATGCAATATCAGAAGCCCTCTTTGTATGTGCAGGTTGTAACGGTATAGATGGCGATGTGGCTATGTTTAAAGAAGAGACTTATACCAGAGCACAAATCAAATACTCTTTGTGCTTCTCAGCTAATATGTACCAGTACAAGACAAATTAGATAGAAGCCTTCTCCAGATACAAACGCATTTCAGAGAAGCCTAAAGAATTGGATTGGAAAAAGGAAGGAGACTACATCAAAGTTGATTAATTCAAACCCTGTGACTAATGAATCAGATAAGAAATCTCTTCTATCACCCTCATTCTGTTATGGTATATTTCTCATTGTTTCTTTATATACCTTACTGTACTCTCAAAATAGAGGTTTATTTATCAGTCCTATGAGACCAGATTCTAATTCAAAATTGAAGGTCAAATGGTACCAAAGTGATCTTTTGGAATCCTAATTGCCATCAGGCAGGAATCTCATCCATTTTGAGTTTGTCAATTCAATCTGAAGGGATAAAGTGTGTACATACTATGTCAAACCATGGGGTTGACGCTAAGGAAACAGATTGAGGTAAAGATGAAGTCAGAAATTACCCCTATAACTTTATTTCTTTCCAACTCTCTAAATGCCCAGCTGTTCCGTTTCTTTAAATTCTTTTAACACCAGGGACCCCCCTGTGATGTATGACCAAATGCCTCTATAAATCCATGCGAGCGATCTTGAGCATCCTTCAGAAACACTTCTATAACGCTCCTTTATTATGTCCCATGAAATTGTTAATGGTGTGTTTTTCCATAAAGAAGATTTGAATTTTTCATCAGGATGAGGTGTTCTCAGAGAGGATCCAATAGAATAGCTTTCTAATGGTAATTACTCTTCTGAGCAATCCACCATCATTAACCAGTTTACTGAAAAGTGTACTGTGTGTAAACATAAATAATATATATGTGTTAACTTTATTTTTAATATAGCTGGTTGGGCTCTTATCCAATTGAATCTTATGCAACAAAAAAGGCTGATATTGAATAACTAAAAGCAATGTAACCCAAAAAAAAAATAAAAAATAATAATCCATATAGGGCTGTAAACAGAACAAATCAGATTGGATATGGATAGATCCAAATTTAATTTGTTTGTATTGAATTTGAATCAGATCTTATCCATCGGATTTATGTCAAATTCGAATCAAATTCATATTGCAACCGGATATTGAATAGTATAAATAATTTAAACTAAAAATGATCAAAATATTATAATAGTATTAATAAAATGAACTAAAAATTACTGATATTATATTTTATGAACAAAACTAATTGAAATTACTTATACGAAACTTGAAACTATAGAAAATTTAGTAAAAACAAACATTCAAATCAACTTTACTAGTAGATACAATATAAATTCTAAGCATATTGTATATATGAGCATATATATTTAAATCAGATTGATCTGATTATATCGGATTGGATAGGGTGGATCCACATTCAATCCAATTATAAAGCATAAAAAGATAGAATTCATATCACCCTTAATGGGATCAAATTTGAATTCAATTCAGGCAATCGGATACCGTTTCCAGCCCTAAATCCAAAAATATAAATAATGAAAGATCATTATCTAGAGGAGAATATGGATCTGGAGTAAGCAAGATGGGTTCTCATATTTCTTTCATTCACTAAAAAATGACTTATCATGAGTATCCCAGTTAACCAAAAGAAGACCATTTGTTCATAAAAAAATAGCAAATAAATAAAAAACAGAAAGAACAAGGAAAAGTATAAAAGCAATTGTGACAACTGTGACAGAATGTTTACTAACTGAAGGCATATTTATGCATTGACATTTATTTAAGATTAGATGAATCATAAATACAAAAAAACAAAATGTTTAGTCTGAGATGCTGGAGCTAGAAGTTACCTGCTTGGAAAATGTATGCCTTTGTCACTATTCACTTTTTCTGGAATCCTATCATTCATTAATCCCTTTCCTTTCTTTCTATCAGTATGGTTGCCTTCAGAACTAGAGATGGCAATGGGTATTTGACAAGATGAAGTCCCACCGCCGGAGACTGCTTCTCTGATGTAATCCTGTTTGGCACCACCAGAACTCATACCAAGGCTTTCAGCAGTTTGTTTAGCTCTTGCTATGTTATATGGAGAGATGCACCCATTGCGAACTAGCCTCTTTTGCCCGGCTCTCCTCGGTGAGGAAGTAGACTGTGGAGGAATTAGAATGATTTGTTTGGTTTTTGACTGGGAAGCATTGGACAAACCAATACCATTCACATTCTGGGAATCATCTCCAGCATTATTAGATGCATTATCATCCAATTTGCTTTTCCCTTTGCAGGTGTTGCTGGGTGCTTTTGAAGGGCTTCGGCCAACATGTGATGAAGAACAGCCATTGGGTACTATCGGTGCTTTTTTAATCCCTTCAGCTGGATATTTTGATGCACTACTTCCCCTTTCAGGCATCCCACTACATTCATTCTGCACTGTTAAATCTAGAACATAGCTATCAGGTATGGAACTAAAAGGCTTAGGATCCTCAGTGGACACAGCTTTTCCTTTATCAAAGTTTGTGTCACATGCGGTCATCTTCCTTCTTGTATTTCTAAGATTGGTAGAACATGAAGGGCTTTTGTCATTTGAAATCAAATCAATTAGTTTTCCCCTGTTTCCATCTTGATTTCTGACATTAGAGATAGATACTTCAGGAGCATCAGAGCTACCACCAACTTTAGCTCTACCAATCAGATGATTATTACCTCTATGACCATGAGAACTAGAATGAATGTGTTCCAAATGTTGTGGTTGTGCAGAAGATTGGCGTAGTATCATATTCCTAAAATTAGAGTTCTTGGGAAAAGTCCCATTATCCAATGAGGAGAAAACAGCGGAAATGCCATTCTCTATTTTGTCAGAACTACTGAAATCTTTGGAGGAACGATGATAAGATCTTCTGCCATTAACATTTTCAGCGATCAGCCTACCACCACCCCTCAGCAAACCAGGAACACCTTTACCCGATACTTCAGAACTTTCAGACTCACAAGCCACTGAAGAACCAACGTGCTTTTCAAAACTCTCCCCACCATTCTTCCGCATGGTCTGTCTTTCAGGAGTATCAGGAACATCCATTACATGATCAATGTCCAAATCATCCATATTCTGCATCTGCCAATTTAAAAGCTCAAAAAAAAATGAACACTTGCCATGAAGAAAACATTCTTGTCAAAAGAAATCATTTTGTTGGTTTAGATAATACCAAAAAAAAATTAAGAGAGAGAGAGAGGGGGGGGGGAGGGAGGACCTGTGAATAATGAAAACCCAATCCTAAATCCAGAGACAATCTGCGTTCCCTCTGGTTGCAAATTCATCAAATCAAAATATATTCATCATCCATTAATCAACCAAAAGAAAAAGCAGGTCGCCGTAAAACATCCCGAGTAATATAACGAAAACATATAGAGAGATGGTTTGGGGGCAGAGAGATAGTAAACCGACATGGCCAAGACGAGCAAAATTGGAACAACGATATGCCCAACTACGAAATTGAAAAAAAAAAATGAAAGAAAGAAAAAGAACCCAATTCAGATTTTAGAGCTTTTACCATCTCCCTCCATTAAAACAGGAAGAAGATGAGCATGATGATGACGGAAAAGAGATGAACCGATCAAAAAATGAAAGAAAACATTATCAAACAGAAACATAATTAAAAAAAATGGCCGAACAAAATGGGAACAATTGCATTTCAATGCCAAATAAAACAGAAGGTATATTAAATCATACAGACCCAGATTGAAATTTTCATATTCGAATCAATATGAACAAACCCTAACAACAGATCATTAGCACAGACAAATACAAAACCATTGCCACATAAATTGAAAGAGAAAGAAAAAAAAAACGGAGATTACCGTCTTGTGTTCGTCGTTGAGATCCAACGAAGCAAGAAGTCTCGAGGTAGAATTAAGGGTAGGAACGTCCAAAACGGACCGAGCCATACACCAACCAACCTCGCGCTCTCAGTCGGTCAGTCGCTTCTGGATCTCCAGGATCAGCGAAGCACTGCTTTTTTTATGTTCGTCCCACGATATTATTTTGTTCCCAAACGAATCCACGAACATAATCACTCAGCTTGCGTATGTCTTCAGGTGATGCGGACACTGGATACCATCCAATCCACAGACCATTTTTGGGAGAAGGATTTAAACCTCGCCCTTGTATTTTCTGACAAATATTTAAACCCCTATAGTTTGAACTCTGCAAAAATAACTCCCTTCACGTTTTAAATAAATATGTAAATGCCCCTTCCGTTACCATTATGCCCTTATTAATAATGTTTACATTTAACACCGTTATTCTAGGGGCTTGAAGTATAGGTAAAATCTTGGGCTGACAAGTGTGAGAATGCAGCCATGCAGGTTAGAGTCTGAAAAATGACTACTTCATAAATAAGAAAATAAAATAAAATAAAATAATAAAAGGCAAGGTGCCTAGCGGAGACTTGAAATCGAATCCAGGTAGTGCACCTGGGTTGAGGGATGGGCTACCTCTAGAGTTGGCAATCGGGTTGGGTGGATCGGTTCGGGTTGGGTTGGGTCGAGGTATTTAGGGTTGATTTTGGGTCGGGTTGGATTTCAGGTTGGATTGTCAAATGCTATACCCTAACCTTAAATGTTCGGATTAGGGTTGACCCATGGGTCAATTCGGGTCATCCCAAAAAATAATTGAAATTTAAAAAAATAAAGAAAAATTACATAAAAAATGTCAAAATTAAAAGAATTAACCTTAAAATTTCAAATATAAAATAAAAAACTTGAACATTTAACAATTTAAAGAGTAACAATAAAAAGTAAAGACTAAATAGAAAAAATTAAAGAGTGGAAACTTCTAATAATGCATAAATAATCCCAATTAGACTTAACAATTGAGTCAGCGGGTTGACCCATGACCCAACCCATTCTTCTGGTCGGGTCGGGTCGGGTCATTTTCACATTCAGGTTGCTAAATATGAGACCCAAACCCTATTTTTTTGGATTGGGTTGGGTCAACTTTTTGCTAGGTCTAACTACCTCGGTTGTACAGTTCTCCACAATATATAAAAAGAAAGAAGAAGAAGAAATGAAAGGTGGCTACACAAAGGGTAGTTCATCTCCATCCCTCGTGAAGTGGTGATAGTAGAATTTGTCCCATGTCTGCTACAATAAATCAATGATTCTTCCAATTGAGCCACCAGCGCAGCAAAAGATACTACAATACCCTCTCAACATGATCTCACACCACACATGTCATCATACATGGTGGGTCCTACTTTTTTGGTAGGCCCCCAATATCATGATAAAATGTGCAGTATCAGATTTGTTTGGAACGTCTACTATTCCAGCGCAGTGGTGAAAAGAAAAAGGTCGGAGTCATATCCGGTGATCCCATCTACCCATTTCAAGCCAAAAGTTGGGATCAACATTGTGTAATAGCCTTTTTTTTGTCGTGATAATTAATGGAAGGGGTGCATTTCGAATTCACATCTCCGCCCCACAGCACATTCTCGCCGTGTATTGGGAACATTTCCCAATGATAGTACCAGTCCCAATGATGCATCATCGGGATATGTTTACAATATATAGCAAGGATGTGTTGTGGGGCGCTGTGGGGCGGTTTCTTGTGCGTTGGAGATGTAATCTCGTGCATTTCAGTGTTTGCATATTTTTTTAATGGGTTCGACTATGATATCTAAAAGACTTTTAACTAGTCAATTGAAATCAAAAACCTGGTAGCCAATTAGGTGTTATTTATCAAAATTCATGGGTGATTATTGGTCAAAACTCTTCCCATAGCATATCTTTTTCGCATCATAGATTTTTCTTTATTTAATATATATGAAGGGAGATTTTTGTGAGGTCCATTATAATATTTGTCAAAAAAACATAAAGGGGTTTAAGTAATTTTTCCTAGTTTTTAAATCAAGATTATAAGTATTTATTTGAGAAATGAAGGGAGGTTTTTTGGAGGTCAAAATACAATGGGGGCTTAAGTATATATCAAAGAAACACAGGAGATGCTTAATTAACTTACCCCATGAACATTTTAAGACAAATTTAGAGACAAATTTATCTAACATCATATTGGATATTTTTAATCTCCCAAAATTAGAGGGAAAAACACGAATTTTGGAAGAATCATAAGGGCATAAAAGGAGTTGTGGGTGAGTTTATTAAGTAGCCTCATTTTTTATATTTTTATTAGTAGTAGTTGGGTCGTGTGATGCATGGTATGGACACCCTCCTTGTAGCTCCCCCCCATAAGTCAAGACACTCCGTTCCATCGTCACCCCAACCCTAGTGGGTGGGGCAGGTTAGGGGCGAGGCACCCATTCCCCATCGGGGATGAGGAATCCCTAAATTTTCTCAACCCTAAGGCAATCACCTAAAAAATATAATTTATAGATATTTTACAAATATGATTATGGGATTTGGGGGTATTTTATAAATGAAATTATGGAATCCTAGGATTATAAGAATATGAGGAAAATTTAGAGATACTTTAAAAATCAATATTAAATCTACGTATGTTTTACTAATTTACCATCAAGTTCGGGGAATTATATGCAAATCCTATTCCTAATTTGGGGTAAAAATATTTTCCCTGTCCCCACCTTGTCTTTGCCCTGTCTTCGTTTAAGATTTGAGAAAACTTGCTCTGTTCGGGATGGGGCAGGGCAGAGCCCCAATTTTACAGGGAAAATTGCCATCCCTACAATTATAGTAATTTTTATAACTAATTAACTAACAATAAATTATAATATTTTATGATAATTTCCAAAAAAATTATTGAAATTACTTAACATAACAATAAATTAATGTAAATTATTTACCTTTTCAACCTAAATTATTTACTATTAATCAAAGTAAATGTAATTATAGTAAATTAATGTAATTATGGTAAATTACATTATTTTTAATTAAAAGTAAACCATTTGTTATTAATTAATGTAAAATTAGGAATGGTTAAACTCAACCAAGTGGTATAGATCGGTGTGGATAGACTTAGGGCTCATTTGGTAATTATTTTTGGGAAGATCTTCTGGTAGCTCTAACGGTCAAAAAACACATTGAGTTTTTGCATGAAGATCTAAGCAGTCGAAGCAAGTTTGGCAGATACATGTATTTTCGTGCGTCTTTTCATGTCTTTCCACGTGAGAATAAAATGTGAAAGACGCGAAAAGCTTCACTTGGAGCTTCCCGAAATCAGCCCAAACTAGGCTTCTCACACCTTTTCGGCACTCTAGCTTTTGGTGGCTAGATCTTCTGCGAACCAAATGGAAATAGACCAAAAATCAGTCTGCCAGACTTGTAAACAACCGAAAGACCGCGTGAAAAAAAGTGCCAAACGGGCCCTTAGTAATCTTCCTAAATTATTTAATGATTATTTATTGAAATAATAATAATGGATTATTATTTAAATAATCATGAACCAATTTCTGAAATATTAATTTCCTAATTTATTTTTCCTAAATTTTTTAATAATTATTTAGTTGTATAATAATAATGGTTTATTATTTAAATAGTGCTGGAGAATATTTTTTCATCGATTAATTAACTATAATTATTGAATTTATAGAAAATATTAAATTACACTAATTAGTAATATATTTTATCAATATATAATTATTGTAAATAATTAATGAAAATTTATTAAATTAAATTACGCTAAATGTTGAAAAATAATGGATCGTTTATTAATAACCAAAAATTATTAAATAATGGAATGCTTATTAATTTTTGGTAGATTATTAAATTATTTAATATTTGTTAAATTATGGATTGTTTTTGAAATAATTATTTCATTATTATTGGTATAATATTTTCTAGGAATTTTTAATAGTTCTCATAACTAATGGATTATTTAACAATATATTATTATTATTATTATTATTATTATTATTATTATTATTATTTAAGAATAGATTAATGGAAGATGACATGAATATACAGGAAACATTGAATTCCCCCTTATTCCCCTCTCTTTGCTTGAGGAATGGAGAGGGAGAAAAAGTGGGAAGGGGTAGAGGAGATAGAGTCAAGGAGAATGAAAGGTTGAGGTAATGGAGCAAGGAGAAGCAAGATGACATGGATTATAATATATATATGGGTTATGTTAAATGAAAGTTGAATCATAGAAATACATAAGAGTATATAATTGTTTTATATTTTAACTTTTTAATAACCAATTCAATCAAACTCGACCCAAGTTGGTCGGTTTTCTAGTATCCAACCCGACCAAGTTAGGTTAGTTTCGGTTTGGCCATTTGTAAACTGACCAAAATTAAATTGACTCGACCGTATACTTTAAATTTAATTTTTTAATATATGAAAGTGAGAAATTCTCATATTTCTTAGTCTAAAATATTTTATACCATAAATATAATTCTTAATTTTTCAATAATATCACTATAATTTATTAAATTTAAAATTAATTTTTAAGTTTAGATATTTTGAACAAACAAACCAAACGGAAAATAGACCCAAACCGATACAACCTAAGTTGACAAGTTTTCACTAATGGCCAATTAGTTTCAAATACAAACAACCGACCTGACCAAGTTGATTTGGTTGGCAAAACAGCCTGCAATTGAAATGAACCAATCCTTGAACACTCCTAATTTTAGCTAAATTAATAGTATAATCTCTAATAATTGTTGAAAATTTATAGCAAAAGTATACGATTATTAAAAGTAAATTTATAAAGAAAATATAACAGATATCTAATAAAAATACAATAAATACTAAAAATATATTAAATTAATCAATAAATGGTGTAATATCAAATAATAGATTAATCTCTAATAAATATCAATCAATAAATTATAATAAATATATAATTACTAAAAATAAATTTATAAATAAAATACATTAAATTAAATTTCAAAAGTTAAATAATAGTTGTTTAATCTCCAATGGTTATTGATAATTTTCTCTTAAATAATAAAACAAAAATAGATTTATAAATAATTATTGAAAACATATTTATCAAAAAATACAATAAATAATTATTGAAAATATACATTATTAATGTAAAATTATTACTAATAAATATTAATTGTTTTGAAAGTTATTTTCCATAATTATTAATTGATATAAGTGAAATTAGTTATTTTCAATACTATATAGTTATTTAAATGATATTGCTATTTAA